TTCGCAATAAATGTTTTCGAAATATATGTTTTCGAAATGATTGAATTTCGAAAAAAAAGTAATTTGAAATAAAAGTTTTCGAAATAAATGTTTTCGAAATGATTGAATTTCGAAGAAAAAGTAATTCGAAATAAAAGTTTTCGAAATAAATATTTTCGAAAGGATTGAATTTCGAAAAAAAGGTAATTCGAAATAAAAGTTTTCGAAATAAATGTTTTCGAAATGATTGATTTTCGAAATAAAACCACTCGAAATAAAATATTCGAAATATCTGTTTTCGAAATATGAACATAGACCCGTCTAACTCCTCGACGCCGACGGTCCTATGATAGAGTATAGGTGCAGTGCTGTTGAATTCCTCTTTCAAATTACTTTGTTGGCATTAATGTCACAATAAAAACATATTTTGTTTTTCAATAAAAACCGTTCAAACCCTGATATATCGTAGTTATAATTCAATTTCAAACAAAAAATACCTTACAAGTGAAATTTGGCCCTAAAAACATGCAGATAGACATGGGGTCTATAGGACCCCACCTGACCTATCTTGGTCACCTGTCCGACGCCGGGTTAATAATAAAGGAATTCTTGTTAGCTGTGAAAATCTTGATAATAACCGAAAATTCAAGGAGCTCGCGGAAAGCAAGTTAGCTAATTTACACGACATTACGGAATATCATGGTATCAATCCAAGAGTGAGAATAGTAGGCTTGACTGAACTATATAATGAAGTGGACTTGCAGTCGGTTTTGGGGCGGTAAAACTGAAATATTTCTAGATATATTTCTAGATGACTCTGTTTGTGACATTATAAAAATAAGTACCTAAAACAAAAAAAAAAAAAAAAACCCGAACCGTTTTCAAGCTGTATTTCAACTTGAGAGAGATACATATGATAGAATTATCAGGATGGGAAATGTCTTTGTTGGATATGATGCTTGCACAGTGTTCGACGGTGTACAAGTAATTAGGTGTTTGGCATGTAGCGGAGTTAACCTCTCTGCAGAAAGTTGCTCCAACTCATTCTGTTGTTCTAGATGTGGCAGGGATCATACGGTCAAAGACTGCCAAGCCCAACGTTTATGTTGTCCTTATTATGTAAAAGTTAATAATGGTAGGCAACCCTGTGAGCACCGAATGTGCTGCTTGCTGCTTGGGATATGAACAAATTTACAGTTTATAAAAATGCCTGCGCAAGATTAGGAGCAAATATTCTTGGCCAATAGCAATCAGAAATGCATCCATCTGAGAACTTAGAATCCCGTTATATTTCCGACACGCCTGTCAACGTGACTCTGTCCAATGTTTCTCATAAAAAAAAAAATATTTTAGTATATTATAAAAATACCCGTGGGCTTTTTAGTAAAACGGCTGAGTCTCTAAATAGTTCGCATTACTATGGTTGTGATATTATGGTTCTTACGGAAACATGGCTATCGTCATCTGTCTAATAATGAGGTAATCAGTGGTCAGTTATTGACTATTTTACGTTAGGTACTTATTTTTGTAGTTCATATTCCTTCGCCAGTATCTCAAATTGACTTAAATAATCTTTTTGAATTTTTCATTTCTTTACACTTATTTTTTGGTAAAAATGTGTGTATTTTGGGAGATTTTAATTTGTCGACTTACTCTGAATCTTTAAACGGTGGTGTATTGGATTCTCGTGTAAATATTCCTAATTATTTCTTTTCATATATGAGCTTGTGTCAGAGTTACTTTGTAAGAATTTCGAACAATAGAATACTAGATCTAGTTTTAAATAACAATAAACACCATATTGTAGTGCCTGTATTAGATTTGCTTATTCATGAAGATCCCCACTCTTCTAGTTTCACTGCAGTTTTCGCACTCGGTAAATCGGAAGCGAGATTTTGAGCTAGGGTTGGAGAATACCTATAATTTTCGAAAAACAATTTCAGTTATGTATGATTTATTTTTAACTGTTGATTGGTCATTTCTTAATCAGGAGATAGAGATTGTAACGTGCCAAAATTGCCTTTAACTATTTCACACTTATTTTCAGTTTTCCATCCAAAATTCCTATAGAAATTTAATTTTTCCCTGATTTTATCAGGCTTTGTTTACATTTCTCCTTTATGAAAATTCAACAATAATTACAGTAATTGCAGATCCGGTAAATTTTCTAATCTTTAATATTTGGATTCTATTTTCACTTGTGAGTAGTTCTTGTGACGACTAATGATTTTCCTCGATTTTAATCAATATTCTAATTTCATTTTCCAATAATAAATCCTCATGTAAACAAATCAAATATTTCTTATTCTTGGGTTAGGTTTTCCAAATAGTGGTCTGTTCAGGAAGTGTGTACCGCATGCTGCTCGTACTCTGTTCGATTGCTGAACTCAGTACCAGATTTACAGCCATTTGCACCGACTTTTTCTTATGGGACCCTTAAGCTAATTGTCCCTTAAAGCGCCATTAGCGATTTTGACGCTTTGCACCAATTTTAGTGGACTCTTTATGTCTCCCTTAAACCGTCCTTAGCTAAATCTCCAAATTTGGTCCTTTAACTAGATATTTGTTAGGTTAGTGGTTAGTTTTTATTGTTGATGCCCGATATAAGTATAAATTTTTATACCTCTATATTTGTCGTAAGGTAAACAGAGTATAGTTATTATTATGTATTAGAGTATTAATAAATAAATGTTACAGAGAATGGAATATGTTGATCTTATGGACGACCTATTACTGGAGGATATATTTGAGGAGGACATTGAAGTCCTGGACTTCATTGATTTTGGCTTTCCTCACAGACTCAATCAGCGACCTGATTATTTCCAGGACATAGATGACCTAAGCTTCTTCAGAAGGTTTCGGTTAATGAAGCCTACTGTGCTTCATCTATTGGAATTGATAGAGGGTGAACTAGAATATTTTGACGATAGGTAAGCCAGTTGTGCTCTTTATAAGCTAATGATAAATATGAACGTTTTATTTTCAGAAATAACAGTCTGTCGCCAATGAACCAGTTACTTCTAACACTTCGCTTTTATGCAAGTAGTGGACACCTAATGCAATGTGCAGATTTTATGAATGTACACGTATCAACTGCAAGCCGGACCGTGGCTCATGTTTCTAGGGTTATCGCAGCCTTACGTCCCCAAATAGTAAAAATGCCAAGCCCTCAAGAATCAATTCGAGCTCAGAATGACTTTTTCAATATAGCTAGATTTCCAAAAGTACAAGGGCTAATAGATTGTACCCATGTGAAAATCCAGTCTCCAGGTAAGATGTAACTTGAATTCGAAATAATTTATCAAATAATCTCGTCCATACCAATAATTATTATACTAGTATACTGCTATTTAAAAATTATTTTCAAGTTTTCAAGATATCCAAAATGATATTTATCATATTCTGATCTTCTTTTTTATCTGTATTTGAGTTCCACACTGCACAGTGTTGAATCACCTAAGTACAAGCATATTTTAATAAAAAATAAATTTGCCTTGCCCTTAAGTATAGAATAATAAAATCATGAACATTTTTACATTTTACATCAAATAAAATATTAACAAGGGGCAGCTCTGAGTAAGTTTCAGTCTCAGACCCTGATGACTTCTGAAGGAGGCGTTTTATAGTTTATGCTAATCAACTAATCAGGCCTTACTAATAAAATTAATAGTAAAATGTGTTATCTTATTTTCCAAAAACAACTCTGTACCTATACCTTGACCTATACTTCAATGCTTTTAGTTATTATTTAAGGAGGTAATAACGCTGAAGTCTACAGAAATAGGAAGCAATATTTTTCAATTAATGTACAATGCGTTACAGACGCTCAGCTTAAATTTTTGGATGTAGTCGCTCGTTGGCCTGGATCAAGTCACGATGCAACCATTTTTGCCAACTCAGCAATTAGAGCAAGATTTGAAACAAGGCAATTTCCAGGATGTGTAATTCTAGGTAGATATTATCAAAGATTATGGATATCTGTATTGAAAATAAATTAATAGATCCTTTGGATGAATTTCTTTTCAAATTTATTGTTTGGATGGCGAACTCCCTTTTTTTTTGACTATTCAACTGCATAATATCTTTATTCAAAAGTGATATTTTTTCTTTAAAGGTCAAAAAACCTGACATTTATCTACTAATCACTTTTACTCCTAATAAAACAATATACTATTATTTTTAGGGGACAGTGGCTACCCATTGAAAAATTATTTAATGACACCTCTAGCAAATCCTGTTACACTTGGGGAACAACGGTAGAATGAAGCATTGATTCGAACACGAAATGCAATTGAGAGAGTGTTTGGAATATGGAAACGCAGATTTCCAGTAATGGCTTATGGACTAAGGTTGAAAATGGACACAGTAATGGCCATCATAGTAGCAACTACTGTGCTACATAACATTGCGAGAGGGATGAATGAACCAGAACCACCAATACCACAAGACATAAATGAAGGGGAATTAAATTATTTAATAGAAACCCAACAAATTGAAATGGAGCAACAAGAGGGTAGGGTTGTGAACACAGTTCAAAATGAAATAATTCGGTATTTTAGCCAGTTACAATAGTCTGTTTGTGTACTTAATTTTTACCTTTTCAATTCTCCTAAAGCCATTAGGTAACTCATTACTTAGTTTATATGCAGTGTTTTTTGTTAAAGAATATTATAACTAATAAATTTGATGTTGAAATTGATTACTTCCTTTTTTGTTTTCCCAAATTTCTTTAATAGTTACAACTAATGATATAGGTAGTTGCAACGTAGAAAATAAGTAGTTATACTAAATAAAAATAGTAGGTACTTTCCATTAGTGTTCGCCACTTTTAGTACGTACTACAAAACTCAAATACACTTGAAAATGGAAACACAAAATCTCCAGTGTATTTTTTTAAACACTTTTTAACACAAATAACATTTTCTAAGAATCATGAAAAATATCACAAAAAACAGAATTTATCGAAAATATACTTATAACTCAATAGTAAACAAAAATATTACTTCTAGAGGGAAAGAAAATCAAAAACAGTTGGGTTCTTCTTGCAGTTTCTGCAGTTGCTTTTGTTTAATCTCAATGTCAAGCTGTAAGCCTCTCATTTTTAGTCCATGCTCCTTTTCAGCATAAAGCCTTTCCTTCTCCATTTTTCGTATAGCATGCTCGGCAATAACATTTTTCTTGTCAGCAAGGACATTGTATTTTTCTGCTAAAGCACTTGATGCAAGTGCTTTGACAACTGTTGCAGTTGGCCTCCGTCTATCTATCCCTCGATCCAAGCCCTTAAAAGATAACAAATCTTATTAAACAATTACCAGAATTTTAATTATAAAATTGTAAAATGTAAAGGAATGCGTTATTTTAAATAGACATAAGTTTCAGGAAATCAGGTTTCTTGCAATTGTTAGGTGTAGCTAAATACCTATGAACTCACCCTTCTGTTTCCCACTCCTGTCCTTGTTGCTACTCCTGTACCATGGTGCTCAGATCTTGTTTGTAGGTTTTCTGATTCTAGCTGTGAATCTGCTTGTCTCGTTTTTTTTGTACCTGCTGTAGCAGCATTACTTCTCAGTAATGCTGGATTTAAAGGTCTTTTCAAATCAGATGAGTGATATTTTTTCCAATCTTTCTTTTGTGGAATGTATGTGTCATTCTAAAAAAATTGAATTAGACTCTGTTAAGCTAAGGTAACAATTTATAAAGCTCAAGGCTTGGAGGTTATTTATTTTATGTCAATTTATTGAAACTCTCAAAATAATAACACACATACACACCCACACCGTACCGTATCACACACATACACACAATGGCAAAATGCACAGCATTTCAATAAAAGACAAAATGCAAACATATGAAACAGTCTTCAAGTCCTTGCTGATGAGATGGACTGAATATTTTATTTTGGCTATACACACCTCAATATCTTCACGGAAGTTCTGATTTTCATGATCTTCATCCCTTACTCCCTTTTCTTCAGGCTGTTGATTCTCCTGAAACAGGACGATTAACATTACTTCAATCCTTCAATATATCAAAGGAAATAATAATAAATTATTATTACATTAACTTCTAAATGTAGAAATCTAATAACATTTAAAGTTAGCAGCAATTCTGCATATGCTTTCGGTCTTTCCAAGTGGTTTTCACTTTAACCAAGTTCATTAAACAAAACTTTATGGAAGTAATAATTTTTCACAAATACCTAGGTGAAAAAGAATATAAAATATATTGTACTTACAGGTACTTCAAAAATTATTTGAATTTCATTTTCTTCAGTATGACCAGAATCTTTAATAATCGTACTGACAGAATCTGAGTCATATGTATTTGTATCGCCCACAACTGTTAGAGGGTCCATTGTTGCTAAAACTAACAAGGCAGCTGGCTCTTTCTTTTGCTCTGGAGGAGGGCCACCTCCTGTTTTTAAGCATTCCTGGCGTACTTCAGCCTTCTGTTTCCTCAAACTTTGACGTCTATTCTCGTAACATCTTTTGAGTTGTTCGACGGTTCTATTGTTGAAATCTGTGCTAGTTGCATTAAATTCTTTGGCAACTTCTGACCATGCTTCATTTCTCTCACAATTTGTAGTTGCGTTGGTCTGTTTGTTTTCAATTACATTTCTATGTTTTAATGCAATGGAAAATAGTAGATTCTGTTCCCTCATGGTAAAATTCACCGACCTTCTCCTCTTATTTTCTTCTGTCATGGTACTCATGTTGAACTCAAAACCAAAGCTATAAACTGTCTATTATTACACAAACGAAAAACAATACAATATAAATATACCTTTAATGAAATAAGCCTCACACCAAAACCACAACGTTCCTTCTTTCTTTTTGTTTCTGCTTTCAAATTGTTCTCTAAATTAAATTCAAATATAACAAAATAGTTTTATCAATTAACGGTTTTATGTTTGTTTTGATAACGTTTTGACATTGACATGACCTAAATATTTGTAGTACAACGCAAAATCCCTAAAAAAATGCGACGTTGTCATGTTGTACCGCAAATGACATTCTGTTAAAGGACCCATAGTAAAAATTTGGTACAATGGTGTCCGTGCAAATGATTTTGAATTAAGCGACCCTTAAAACTTAAGGGTCTGTTTGTTAATGGTCCCATAGGAAAAAGTCGGTGCAAATGGGCGTTAGTTCTGCATCCGGTTCCATCATTGGTTCCATAAACCACCGGATTGCTCTCTTTGCTCTATATTCTATAGTGACACTTAAGTCTTATCACTCATGATTTGCGTGCCAGCTGACGGCAGACATGCCATTCATTTTTGTCAATTGGCCTTTCAATTAGTAATGCTTTTGGGATCATCGAATCCTTCGTAAGCGTTTACGTTTTGCAACACGAATTGCTTATTCATTGTCGTGTTTTTTAAATTATGATCGTTCTAGTGGTTAATTACTTGTTGTTATCATTAGCCGTCAGCTGTTGTCATTTTTCTCTGAATATTGTAGTGTGCAATTTTTGGTACTTAAAAATTTTAACCGATTAATTTTTGACATTTGTCGTTACTTTGCCTCATCCCTATTCCTCAAATCAAGGACAGCTAAATAAATTCCTGTGGTGCTTCTTTCTTTCACGTTTGATGGTTCCGAAAAAAAGGGTCCCTCTTGAAGAATATAATTTTTGTCTTCGCCCTAAAAGAATCTAATAGGTAAGTGAGAACACTTATTGAATTTATGGTACATTGAGTTCCCTTACGTTGCGTTACGTTTTCGTAAACTGTCATAGTTTCGCCGATGATTTCAGATTTTTACAACCATCCATTCGGTAAGTTTTGCTTTGCACGTTTTTCCCCACAGTGTCTCCTGACCTTCTCTATTTAATTATTAGTAAAAAGCTGCCCTAAGGAGTAGAGAGATCCAGACTAATCCAGAGTATTTTAGAGGCAAATAGAATCCATTCCAACAGGTGAGACATAATTCAATAACGACAGATTTTCTTTGCAAAGTTACATTGAAGTTACATTCATTTTCTTGTGGTTCATTACAAAGTGCCTGGCCTTCGCTAAGGTTAGGCTACAAATACAGAGTGCTATAACAGTTTTTTTTCAGGATTTTCACTTACGGCCACAAATTTGAGCCTACGGTCAGCCCTTTTTAACTAAAGGCTAGACATTTAAGTGTACGGCAACCTCTACCAGAGCCTACACATTTTTGTTTGGACGGTTATACCTTTGTTTTGTTGAACCTTACGACTGGTTTGACCATATCAGCTACAACCTGTAACCAGGACCAACCAGGTTAATTGAGCCTGCTGCCATCACTTGGAACATATTGGTATCGTACTAGCTTTAGTTTAAGAACCCATTGTTGTCATTTTAACTCTAATTTCATACATTTTGCCCCTATTTTGTACGCCGAAGTGATCACCGCGGTACGTAAGGGTGTAATTCAGTAGGTACCTACTTGTACCAAGTGACAAGTAAAACAACTATTGGGTACATTTATCCTGTTTCAATGTGGATGATTAATTTTGTCTATTCAGCTTTGGTAACATCATTATACTAAGGTTTGTAACTGGTAACCGTTCCAATAATAATTCTATTTTTCTTTTATTTCTATATTCTGCCTTCAACTTTCAGTTAACTCATATGAGTTACCACAACATTTTGTATTTTAAACTTACAAATTTAAATTTAATTTAGATTATTGATTATGAACCACAATTGCTCTAAGAACATATTTCCATATATATTTCTTTGTATTATTTACTCAATAAAACGAACTCTATAGCACTTGAATTAATTGAATTTTATTTGGTTTTATGCACTCAGCCCAATACTTATTATTATTATTTTATTTTATTTTATTTTAATAATGCAATTAAGTTGCAAGGACCCGGAGCCAGATAAAATCCTGGAGAATCCGACTCATCTGTCCTGAATCGGTGGCGCCCAAAACATAACCCACTCCTACTCTCCGAATTGTTTAATTTTGAGCGAGGGCTTAATTTGCACGTACTTTGACCTTCAGTCCTGCAATTTTGATTATTTTTTTTTTCACTTTAAATTGTCTAACACAGAAAAAGCGTGGCAAGATGTTGAATCAGTATGTACCCTATTTTATAATAAACTATATGAAATCCTTAACCATCTTTGTGCCGCGTTTACCTCGGAGATCATCGCTATTATTAAGAAAAAGCACAAGCATTATAAAAAATATAAAAGAAAGTATGCTCTAGTATTTTTGCAACGGTTTAAAATATTGAGAGCAAAAATTAAAAATGACATTCGAAGTTCGTATAAGAACTACTAAACGACAATTGAGGGTGAAATCAAGGAAGACTGTAAAAAATTCTGGGCTTTTATGAAAAACCAAAAAAAAAAAAAATCTTCGAATATCCCAAAAAATATGGCTTTTAATAATCAGCACATAAATGATCCCAATGTTATTTTATATAGCTATGCGTTCTACTTTAAACAATCTTTTTCTTCCTGGGACTCAAGTTTTAAATGATAATAATATTGTTTCCAGTGAAAACAGGACTATATGTTATTTTTCTGAAAGCGATGTAACCAATGCACTCAAAAATATGAAACCTAAGTTTACAACTGGTCCGGATTTTATCCAAGTTTTTTTGAGGGTAGATCTACGACTTCTAATCTGCTCAAGGTTACTCAAGATATTTCTGAATCCATAGACGACGGGTACCAGGCTGATGTTATATATATCTTGATTTTTCTAAAAAATTTGATCGGCTTGATCATCAAATATTTTTGAATAAATTGTTAATCAGTTTGGGTTCTCTGATGCATTGTTAAAGTTTTTTGGTATTACCTATTCTCCAACAGTATGTTGAGCTTCGCGGCTATAGTTTTGAGAGCTATGCAGTTACTTCTGGTGTCCCACAAGGTTCTATGCTCGGAGGTTCCAAGCTTGATGTAAAGTTTTTGATGTATGCGTATGATATTAAAATATACAGGCGGATGAAATATGTGAATGATTGTTTGCTGCTTCAGAGAAATTTGAACGAAATTAACCTTCAACTCAATATTGAGAAGCGTAATAATGTGTCGCTTACTACGAAAGTATCGGTCATAGACCGGGTGTCTCAGAGAAACATGATTATCTTATTAACAGTGATATCATTTCCCGCTCTGACAGCTTTTGTGATCTAGGTGTTCTCTTTAATTATGAACTTTATTTTGTGCCTCATAGTAATAAAATATTGTCGGAAGCATCAAAGAGTTATCGATTAATTTTTCTCTGTTCAAGAGATTTTAATAATGTCGATGTAATAAAAATTTTATTTAATTCCTTTGTTAGATCCAAGCTTGAATATGCTTCAGTTGTATAAGCACCTGGCGATAATATTCATATTCATCTAGAGAGAATACAAAGGAACTAACTAAAATATTTGGTGTAATGGTGTTCATCCTCCTCAAGGATTTGCATATGAGTATTTCTTGAACAGATAAAATTATATCTCACTTGAGGATCACCAAGACCACCACACTTCAATTATACTTTATAAAATACTAAATAACCATATTGATTGCTCTGATTTACTTCAAAGGTTAAATTTTAATATTCCTCATTTAACTTCTCGTCAAACGTGTGTATTTTATTTGTCAACTCCGCGTACCTACCAACATTATGAAACTCTCTCCTATTTTCTCTATATGTGTTATATATAATAAATATTGCCTAGAACTAGATTGTGATTTTTTTAACTTGTCATTAAATACTGTGAAGCAAATATTGCGGAGATGAGTTGATAAATTGGTGTTTAATGTATTTACTTTTGGACTGGGTAGGGTAAGTTAGGTTTATGTCTTTTTTATGCACCATTTGTTGACACATTTTATTCTTTTATGTTAAATTTGTTAGTGATTATCTCTCCGGTCTTGTACTTGGTACTTTGTACTGTAGGGCAGGTAATGTAAAATAAATAAATGAATAAATGAATAGATACATATTTTCAATTTTAAATTATTTTATTGAACCCTGCAATATTGTTTTTTGATATGAATACCCATGTATTAATTCACTAGGATGGAGTTACAGGAGTTTTGCAACATGAAATTGCTGATTCAAATCTACAGAAAGCTATGAAACCTAGTAACTCGCCAGTTTAGTTTCTTTTCTAAAATTCGGCCTTGGCAAAGTTAATTTTGCAGTCGATTTTATAATGTTGCTAATTACTGAATAATTCTTGCAAATATGCATGCGAAGTAAAATTGGATATACTTACAATTCTAAAAAAAAGCGGATAAACGTTGAGAAATCCGTTACCTTCTTTTTCCGTGAAACCGCTGTCGAATGCATTTTTCTAATGATATGTGTGAGCATATTGTTATGACATTGAAAGTTTTTTCCAATAGCCACATATCACTCTCAAAATATTCAGCTATTTTGTAGTGTCATTTATATTGCAAATTATGTGTATGATGCTGGATGTTTGCCAGATTTTTTTTTTTATCAAAGTAACTAAATATTGCAATCTAATTCAGGCAACGAGAAACATATTCACTTTTTTAATCATAATTCGCAGCAAATTAAAAACTTCTCTCTTTTAAACTATTCTTCTATTTAACCTCTTCGCAATCTAGCCAAAGTATTCGAATAAACCTAAGTATGTCATTAAACTGTAAGTGCCAAATGAAACTAGATCCACACATGCAAATTCAGTTTTGTTACGAACAATTTGAGGTCCCATGGAATGAGACGTCATTAAATAAAGTTTACTGTTTCAAAGAGA